TGCAAGAATTTGATTTTGTGGTTATTGATAGAAAGTTAACTAATAATCAAATTGCTGATCATTTTTCAAGATTAGAATGGATGAATAATATAAATAAAGAGTTGATCCACAAAGAAGATTAAACCCAATGATGAAATAAGTAGCCAAGAAGAAAATTTTGAAATGGTTGGAAACTGGAATCATATATCTTATTTCGGACATTGCTTGGGTAAGTCCAATTAATTGTGTTATTAAGAAAGGAGGGGTGACTACTGAAGCACAAGAGAATAATGAAATAATATTTATTAGACAAGTTACTGGGTGGCGTATTTGCATTGATTATAGAAAATTAAACACTATCACTTGGAAAGATCACTTCTTTTTACCATTTTTAGACCAAATAGTTGATAAACTTGTTGGGCACAAATATTTTTATTTTTTAGATAGATATATCGGCTACCAACAAATTTCTCAACAAATTTCTATTGCTCCTGAGGAACAAGAAAATACAACATTTACTAGTCCTTTTGGAACTTTTGCTTTTCGAAGAATGCCTTTTGGATTACGTAATGCACCCGCAACATTCCAGAGATGTATGATGTCTATATTTAGTATGTTAATTGATTATGGAATAGAAGTGTTTATGGATGGGTTCTCCATATTTGGTACATCATTTGTAAGTTTTGGAGTTATGCGAAAGAAATAATTTAGTTCTAAATTGGGAGAAATGTCAATTTATGGTTGCAGGAGGAATTGCATTAGGGCATAAAATTTCGGAAAATGTTATGGAAGTAGACCCTGCAAAAATTCAATTTATATCTAAATTAACACCTCCTACTAATGTAAGAGGGGTTAGAAGTTTTCTTGGTCATGTTGGTTTTTACAGGCGTTATATTAAAGATTTTTCAAAAATTACCGAACCTCTATGCCAAATTTTAGAAAAGGAAAAGAAATTTGAGTTTACTGAAGACTATTTAAATGCCTTTGAGTTATTAAATAAAAAGCTAATCACAACCCCTATAAAAGTTTCACGTAAAAGGGAGAAACCATTC